TTGCTTTTATGCCAGATGCCATGCCAGTCTTAAAAGGACAGTTCGGAATTTTGGACATAGGACCTAATTTCTTAGTGAGCCAGAGTGTTGGAGGCGTGTAGAGACACTTTTTTAAATATTCCATCCAGTCCTTGTATTTGCAGATGTCGCTGGTGCTAGGCTAGTACATGTCAATGGCCATAGTTAGCCTGCCACTAAAAACAGTCTTACCCACTCCACAAAACACTTGAGGCAAAGCAATTATAACGCCAGACTGTCAATGTAAATGTCTGTGTCAGTAGAATCATTTTAGAAGTAAAACCAACCTTGCATTTGAAGGATTTATGTCTGAGCAGCAGCAGCAAATTGTATTTCCTGATAGAAAGCTTGGCAGTGGCGGACTGATATATCAGAAAATAGTCCCTCAACATGCGACGATTCAGGCGATGCAAGGTTAGTTTTATTTCCAACAATATTCTATCAACACAGACATTTACATTGACAGTCTGGCGTAATAATTGTTTTGTTTCAGGTGTTTTGTGGAGTGTGGCAGGATAACTATGGCCATTGACATGCAGTAGCCTAGCACCAGAGACCTCTGCAAATACAAGGACTGGATGGAATATTTTAAAAAGTGTCTCCACGTGTCTCCAACACTCTGGCTCACTAGGAAATAAGGCCCTATGTCCAAAATTCTGAACTGTCCCTTTAAACCCCTTTATTTTTTTATGCCACCTTTTTTCTTAACCTTTATAGCAATAGAGTGTGATTAAAAATATTATTACAGCTACATGTGTTATCAGATGTAGCCAGCCAGTCTGGGAATTGTCAATTTCCCTTTTCATTCAGTGTTGTGTAGATTAATGCCTTTTAGGAGTGTCCACATAATATAATGCTGTATGTTTTCTTGAGCATGAAATCTTGAAATAAAGCTTTTGCGTAAACCAATGAGAAACCAAGTAGGGCTGTATGCCTTTAGTCATTTGTGCAATTAGAAAGGAGAAGTTAGTGAGTGAGTTAGATGAAGGTTTGGCCATTTTTAGTGTTAATATGTAAAAAATCACATTAAACTCCTCTGTCTTTATAAAAATCTATTGTTTTGTTATACTTTTTTCTGCATAAATAGTGTTTGCATGATCTCCAGTGCAGGTGTAGTCTTGTGAGTGCAGATTCCGTCAGATACACAGATATGTAATAGTTTTGAGAGCTTTTGCCACCACCCTTTTTAGTGGATCAAGGACATGTCAACCAAGAATTTCTTTAGTCGATAAAGCCATACTTGAGATCTTCTTTTTGTTTAATAATCATATTTAGCACCAAATGGCAAGACTTGAGCTCGTAAGTATGTATGGAGTGTTGATTCTCATGACACCAGCACATTTCACCCTAAATGCTAAGCCTGTCTGTCCAGCTGTTGACATATTGTTTATATATTCAGCATTAATTGGCCCTAATTTTTCACGGACCTATCTCGTCTCACGCTGCCCAGACTTCTCCACTCAGCAAAGCTTCGCCGATTTATCAAGCACAGACGCTGTCACAGTCATCAGATTTGCTTTCTTACCCCGCTGTAAAACGGATCCAACTTTTGTCTTCCACCACAAATGACCTTATATATGTAATCTCCAATTTTGTGTCTGTTGTATCACGGGGTATGGCGTGGCCTGTCAGAAACACTGGCAGCCAAGCGTTCATTAAAAAGTAAACTTCTAATGTAGCAGCTATAGCCCCGACTGCTGAACTATATCAATGATTTAAGCTTTCTGCATGGTCGTTAATGGACAGACCCAGCGTTGACTTGCGTACAACACTTGGATGCACAAAGAGGACGAAGTGTGTGTGGCGTTGTACAGTAGCTCAAATGTTTCGTTGGCGGACATGTTTTTAAAGTAGCATAAGGATAGCGGGCTAAACTAAGAACTTTGTCACCATCCGCTATGCAGGGTCATTCAGTGCTGTTTGTTTATTCATTTGAACTCGTGTGACTCTGTGACCTGGGGAAGGCTATGTACAGCTCAGAGGACCAGGTCTGTACAACGTCTGTAGTGCTGACCATGGAGGTTTAAGGCAGGATTTCACAGATAAGCGGTTTCTATGCTGTTAAATAGTTTGGAAGTAAGTGCAGTGTTAAAGTTTTCAGTGACTTGCAGTTTTGCCAGTATGATCATAAAGAGGTCAGTGTTTCTCAACCAGGTGTACAGGGTTTTTATATCCTTAAAGGGCTCTGTTTTGTAGTGAGATTATGATTTTTGGCAATAGACTTTAATCTGTGCACTGTTTGGGCTTTTAGCATGTTCTTATTTTCTAATATGACTACATTTTGTATTTTCATAATGGCTTTATTTTGTGTATGCACTTGTGCAATGTTTTGTGTTCAAGTCCTGTTTTTTTGTTTTGCCATCAACCTGCTAATGGTACTATGGATGAATGAGCCTGGATGGCTAACTCTGGCACATACATTCTGTACTAACACATGTTGATTAATGTGTGCACTGTGCTATATTTAATACATAAACATGAACATATAACTCAAACTCAATGTTAAAATGTTACCTGAAAAACAAACCTGGACTGGAGTTTTTTTGTAGTTTTTTTTGGAATGTTTTGTTGCATTCACATGTTTGACTCACAGGGATGGGCATCATTAAGAAGTTGCCAATACGATACATACCTTGATACATTGGCCACGATACATATCTCAATATAGTGAGCTTTTGATTCGATACAATATATTTCACATAATTTTTTCGATACTGTTCAGTAAAAAAATAAATGCTAAATCATGGCTGTAATACTAAGAGTCTTCGTTAAACCACTTCTTCATATGAAACACACCCATTTTAATCCTCAACAGTGAATATGTCAAATGTGTTGCATAAACAAGTTTCCTTCCTCTAAACAAGCAACAAAACTGTAGCACTGTAACTAAATAATTTAGTAAAATAAACCAAAAAATACTCTTGGCGATATATCAATACAACAGCCCATGATATCGATACTGTATCACCGCATTAAATGATGCAATATTTCGATATTTAAATATCTTTGCACACCCCCAATATTTGAGTAATCCTTTATTATTAGTCCACAGTTCAGAATGCTCTGTTCCACCCTGTGATGTCATGAAGTATTAGTTTTCAAGTTAACAGTTAACTTTTACCTTTTGTTCATTAGAGATGGGCAGAGTTTGTGTGTTTTAAACATGTGTAAACAAACCAAAACATAACTCCAGGTATGTTTTTGATGAGGAAACTGCATTATAACATACTGTAGATCAGGAAACAGCGTAATATGGGCCCTTTACGAATGTTTAGGAATGTTTCAGGAAATATAAGAAGTAATAATTAGAACAAATATATGCATTTAAATCTCATGGCACAATACCCGAGTTTGGAGATTAGCTTTTTTTAGTTTAATTTTTAATACTGACTGTAATATTTTATGTTAAAACAGTAATGGATGCGTTAGCAATGTTTAAAATACTTTGTAATATAGCCACCATAAATTGTCTCCATATTTCACTTGTCAAAGTAGCAAACACCCAGATCGTTTTCAAACTTAATGGTGTTTGGTTCAATCATATCTCTTTATCGATTAGTGAAACATATGTAACTAGCAACCAAGCATGCGTCATACCTTTAAAATCAATATATAGATCAATAATCATTCAAGAAACGTACATTTAATACAAATCAAAACATCTCACTTTTATTCTAGACAAATCCCAAATCTTAACCGTTTCCTCATATCCATTCTGCACTGAGTTTACCTTTTGACAACAGTTTCCATAACAATAGATTGTGGTTTCGTTTACTGTGAGTCCCTATACCTTTCTTCACTCACAAAAACAGAATAATTTGACTATAGCTTCCTCCACTTTTCTGTTGGCAAACCCCGATTGCATTGGCATTTCCAAGTGATTTAAACAGAGAGATTGACAGCATTACAATGAGTCTGTCATTATAGTCCCTCCTGTGGGATAATTGCCTATAGTGTCGAACAAGCCGCTCCTGTCTTTAGCATCTCTCCCTGTCTCCCTCTCCTCTCCTCCTCTCGCTCCCTGCCTCTAGTTATGTCTATCCTCAATTCTTTTCTATCTCTCCATGTTTCTCTCTTTTCTCATCTCTATCTCACATTCTCTTCTTTCTCCATCTCTTCATCTATTTCTGTATGTCTCTCCCATTGCTGTCTTTAACTTTCACCCCGTCTCTTCTATGTTCCTTTCCTCCCTTTCTCATCACTCATAATCTCTCCCTACCTACTTTTCCTTACTCTCGTCTCTCTCCCTCTCTCTCATTCACCCTCTCTATTCCCGCTTCTCTCTCTTGGACCCGTCTTTCCCTCTCCAGCTCTCCGTTCCTCTCTTTACCTCCTCTCTTCCACTCTCCCTCTTCTCCCTCTCTCCCTTACTCTCCAGTGTGCTCATGAGAGAATCCTCCTGCCTTTTTAGTGCGGCCATCTGTCAACACCACTCCATAAAGTGGAGAGGAGCTCCGCGTGGATAGCTCTCTTCTGGCCCAGCTCCAGCTCACTACGACTGGTTAACCCTGGTTTGGAGCATCACTATATCTAAACCCGAGTGGCTACTTTCACCCACTTTTTTGTCCCTAAATCCGCACCGTCCCATCCTCTTCACTGGAGTAGCTTGTAACGAGCTAACTTTCCCCATCATCTGCATAATTTAGTTGTAGCCCCGCGCTGTATTAATTAATATCACCACCGTGTAGCTCAAACCTTCCCACCGCGGGTTCCCTCTTGGCTCCTATTTTTGGTCCACAGCTGAATCCGATCTGTTTTGTTCAACTCAAATGCCTTTCGCTGATAGACATTGATGAAATATGTTGCTACACTCTGTATAGATTGAGTTTCTACATGTTCATAAATAGTAGAATCCAGTGCTAGAAGACACTGAACCCTGCCAATATTGTTCACCAAATTCTCAGTGTATAGATTTGTTGGTGTAATCTGATTTTGATGTACGACTGCTCCTCTCATGATCCATGTCTGTTTTGTTTTTACAGAACTCGATACGGCACAATCTGTCACTGAACAAGTGTTTTCTCAAAGTGCCTCGCTCCAAAGACGACCCTGGAAAGGTGAGACGTAGTACTTTCTATTACAAGTATAATTTACATAGAGGTTAATGGTTTACTTGGTATAGATTTACGTTACTTGGTCAGTGGGTTGGAGTTAATGCTGGGTGATATGACAAAAAATTAATCACTTTTTTTTTTCCTTTCACACAGTTTTTAATTTCATTATTTTTTTTCTTTTCAAAAGAAAATGAAAATAGTTTTCAGTGTTGATTTCATGAGCACAATGAATCATTGTCATAACACTTGACACTAAAAAATAGTCACCTTTCTACCTCCAAAGTCTGAGCTCCAAACCACATGCTTTTACTGACAGAGAACTGGCTGTGGACCTCTCGATCAAAATCACCCAAGATATCACTGACAGTTAGACATAACTGAATCTCAATCTGGATTAAAAAATGATGAATTGTTGGGCAGTGATATCCTACATTACTTCTTACATTGGGTTGGCTTTAGTACATATATTTATTTGTGTCTTATAGAACCTGTGTTGTGTCTTGATAAATACACATGAATTTACCGGTATGTAAAGTAGCCATTAGTAATTTATGAGGCAAGTTTGTATGTTCTGGCATATACTAGGCCTACTACTTGATGTTACTGTGTAAGTAACAGGTGATGAAAAGAAGATGAGGAGAACTTTACAAAACTGAATGTCTCAATACATATTTTTATATTTAGACAATATCATGTCCATGTAAAGAGAAAATGTATTTAATTAGTTGAGGTTTATGTATCAGTAAAAAATGTGAAATGACTGAACACTGAACAACTGAAATTCTCTCTTACAAAGTGAAATATCTTGCCAAAGGACACAATGTAAGCATTGATTGTTGATGGGAATCAAACCACTAACCTCGATGGCGGGCTAATGCTTTACCACTGAGCCCCTGCTCCCATCACAAAGTGCTTCGTCTCACAGCCTAAATGTATTATTGGCTTCCTTTAGACAATGACAGGGGCTAATTAGATTATGGCAGGCAGCCAAGGTCTCCTGAATGTAAAGGAAGCATTGGGTTTTTATTATAGCAGCATAATTGACTATAGTGTTTGTAACAGTTCTTTGGCTGTAATCACACAATGTTTTGCCTCACACTCAATCTTAGAAAAATGTTACCTTTGAATGTGTGCCAGCTCTTAGTCTGCAAACGCATGGCATGCTCGTAATCTGCTCTAAACCTCCCACTCATAGTTCTGTCAGAGCAGCCTTTTACCAGAGACGTTTCATACAAAGTGCCATCCACTTGTTCAGCTTTAAGTGCGTATGACCGGTTAAACTACTCATGTCACTAAAACATGGTTAACTTAATTAAAAGCCTAGTTATTTTGTTAAATTTAGAATTTCAGTTCCTGGTTGGACATGAGCAGAGATATGAAAATTGCAATATTTTAAACTTTGTAAAATTGTGTAAAACTATGACAAATATTTACCACAGGCACTATCCCACCAAACCAAGTACTAATTAGAAACCCATAAAAACCTGTCTTATAGTGGTATACTTTAAACAGCAGAAGTCATTCGTCGAGTTTTCACCTTGAGCTGTGAAGGATGCTGGGACCACTGGAGCTATAATGCATCTTGTTAATGCTGTGCTCAGCTCTTCGTCACTTGTGTTTTTCCTCTGCAAAAGGACGTGCGCTCCCACATGTTAATTTGACATTTGAGTCTCAGTTGGAGCACCCACAGTTGCTTTCTTTCAGCATCATTTAGCCCACAATCTCCTGCGACATCAACCTTATAAGTAGCACATGCACTGTAGCTAGCGATGTTGGAGCCTATATTTAGACAAATGCAATGTTAGGGTGTGTGTGTGTCGCTGTGTGTGTATGTGTATGTGTGTGTGTGTGTGTGTGTGTGTGTGTGTGTATGTGTGTGTATAGGTCTATAACCATATGTAACCTAACCCAGATCTCCTCCTGTCAAGAGCATTGCTACATATGCTAAGGCAAGCGTACAAATAATTACGCACACACACACAAAAACACACATACACACAAACACACATACACACATACAGAGCAGAGGTATCGTCACGGATGGGGACTGAATGCTAATTTCATGTTTTGCTGTAATCCTCTGATATTGACACTCCTGGGAGCTGCTCTACTAAATACAAAATAATCTATTGCGGTATGGATCCTATTCCGAATGCATGGGCAACGCGCTCGCATCCTTAATGTTTAATTTGGAATTTTCCTCACTCCCTCCTCCCCCCAAGACAACTTCAAAGAGGCATTCGGCACTCTTGATATGTTGCATCAATATTGTAATGTGGCAGGAATATGAGGGATGCTGTTGGAGGAGATAGGGGATAGGGTTGGCTGTCTCCTGTTCAGATGTGAGAGATGACAGCGCAGCCAGTAAAGCACCTCAGGAAGCAAGATTACATTTAATAAGATATGTTTAATTGGCGAGACGGCTGTGCACGTTTTTGAGCAGGATGTCGACCATAGGAGTCTGTAGGGCTGGTCAATAAGTCAAGAATGTTGCTGTTTTTCGAGCAAAATATGGCACTATGGGGCTGTGCAATTAAGGGAATCTCTTTAGATATTACAAGTATTCCTCTAGTCAATTACAGCAATTATCAGAATAAGAATAAGCTTTATTATAAATGATAAAACTATATATTTTGTTGTGACTTATATGGGTGCTCATTAGGGTTGTTAAAAGTGTCAAATGTTAGATACTAATCAGTACTAAAACTAGCAGACCAATATGGATTTTTTAGAGGCCGATATGATACTGATAAAACGAGAGTTGGAGCTGCCGATATAAAGCCGATATATTTAGTGATGTAAAAATTCACTATAAATCTTCAGTTGATTATAAAACTCAGGTCTGGCTCTACTGGATTTTATATTGGGTTTATTTAGGCTACATTTATTGTTATTCTGCCTATTTACAGTCATATTTAAAAACAGTACGTCAGCCTAATGGCATTTTTGCATGACATTCTAGCCAGTAAAGAAAGTAAGTAAACTATGGCTATTAGCCTTTTGCAGTAAATGTGTGTGCACCGCGGTAATTAATTATGCGTAAATGCGGATCATTCACACCTCTGTTCACAGCTCATTTAATATCAATGCTGGTCCAGTCACATGTACAGCCACTATAGTCACTTTGTCCTTGGCCAATGTAAGAGACAAAGGCTGTTTATGTGTGGGAGCTACAACCAATGAGAAAGAATCAAAAGTAGCACATTTGCAACAATCACCTCTCATATAGGCTCCTCTCAGATTACAAGTCTTCACAAATAAGTGTCCTTTTAATCCTGACTCAAAACGATTGTCCATAAATATAATATAATCCAACATGTTGACAGCAGCTGCGTGTGTAAACAAGTGTACATGAGTGACGTGACTCTGGGGGTGCGTTCAGGGACAGTACAGCATCGCACACACAGACTAATTACTTTTCAGATAAATATTGATGCAGCGCCACATATTAGGATATTTATCTGTCTGTAAATTGGATTAAATGGACTCAATATAGAGAGTCTAAACTTTATAACGAGGTATAACATGCCCACGTGGACTATTGGCCTAAATCTTGCCGATATAGGCCGATATGTCTCCAAGTGCAATAGCAGACAACAGATATTTTGGTCGGGCACTAATCAAAACTACTACTACTTTGAGCAGATATCAATACTCAGGTCACATTCACAGGATAGAAATTAACCTTTCCAGAATAGCTTTAGAATTAACTTGGGCTGTATCGGAACAAGAATGAGCACATAGTTTTGTATACGCCCATGGACGACTATGGAACCTACCTGCACCACTGAGGGATTACAGACACATATAATATAAAGAAAGTACTGTGATTTTATGTTGAAAATCATATTTTATTGTCTAAAGAAATTGTGTTTTTATTATCATCATGGTATCGGAATCAGTACTGAATTTATTCCTTAGTATCGGAATTAAGTTTGAAATTTTATTACGGTGACAACGTACTCATTCTGCTCCTCAAAACCTGCATCCCACAGAGTAGTTTATAGCACCTTAGTATCTTTATAAATTTCTCTACAGGTAAGTGAAATGGTGATTAGATTTTTTTTTTCTCCTGTCCATAACCTGGCAACTCTAATTGAATTTATGCAATTGTATCTAGGCTTTGAAAAATAATTATCTGTATTGGAATGGCTTTGTGTATACCTTGTCCTTGGAGAAAGCGATAACCGGCAACCATCCTTTTAATTTAAGATATTTCTTTTAATATAGCTGTCTCACGTTACATTTCAAAATAGTGACAATAAAATGCCCAAACCACAAGTGTAAAACAGGTTATAAAGGGCATTCAATCGTATTGGTATAAATGCTGGATTATTTGAACTGTCTGTAAATTTGTGCTGGATTTCAACATGATGTCTACAGTAAATAAATGTTTCAGGTCAGTTCTTGATTTGAAAAGGCAAATTAAAATTACTTGTAACTTTTAAAATGCTTGTGGTCACTCTAGGTTTGGCAAAAGTTGTCTAACTGATACTTAAACTTGTATCAAAACTAGATAATTTAAGCAAGTATTGATACTGAAAAAAAAATCACATAACTGTATAATATGTGACCTTTCCACAATTTCATCTTGACAAATAACAGACGCAATTGTTTTGTGTTGAAAATGACAATATTGTCTAAAAAAAACGCTTTTAAAATGATTATTTGGGTATAAAAATTGTTTTTGAGTATTGAGTCTTTGATTCCTTTAGTATTGATATTGAGTTTTTTAAGATTTTTAGTATCGCTTTTTAATATCGTGACAACTAGAGATTGACCGTTTTGGATTTTTATCATGGGCGATCCTGATATTGATGATTAGAATACAGAGCAAACTATGGCCGATCAGCTTTGCTGATATTTTTGGGCCGATATATATAGGGCCAATTTTTTCCAGCCAGGTTTTCTAATTTAAATTTACTGCAGACTCCCCCATAAGAGAACTGTGTAGTCACATTTTGTGCAATTATCTCTTCACATAAAATGTTAATATAAAGCTTGAATTTTTAGGCAGCAGGTCAGCTAAAACAAAATATCATCCTTTGCTGGAGATTCAGGGCTGATGACAGATACATTAAAAGGTCTAAATAGCTGCTGATATATTGGTCTATGTTTAGTGACAACATTCACAAAACAGTTGTAATATCAAGAAAAATGTGATGTTAGCTGTATAGTGTCAGTCACGGATTCCTTGTATTTCACGAGTTGAATGTTCTTGAGACAACACAGCACATTGTCCAGGATTCCCCCTCTTTCCCTTCCAATAATAACTCTATATCTCTCTCTCTAAAGGGGAAGTACATGACACCTCTTCTGTTGACCTGCGAAGGCGAGCTTAAACCTCTCTTTAAATCATTCCAGCCTCCTTTGTTTTATGACCATGTGAATCTTCTTTTGTTCTGCCTTCGCCCTGTTACCGTGGACACACTCCGGCTGGCATTCTCTCCGAACATCGCCGTATACATTTGTGAATAATTCAAAGAGTTTTCATGTGTTTTTTCCCCTTGCTCCCTCTCTGGGGGTGGGTGTCGAGAATCGCACAAACTGCTCTCCCAAGAGGGTTAACTTTAAGTCTTCTTCCTCACTAATTAAAAGAAATGCCGCTCTGAATATAGTGCCTTTCTCTACCCTTATTTTGTAACACTAGCTTCGCGTTTAACCCTTGAAAACCATGCATTTCCCCACTTGCATATTATAGTTGTCCTTTTGTACTCGATATAATGAGCCGTATCTCTCTGCTTTCTTTTACTACAAGATTTTTGCTTAATTGTGCTGCGATTATTCCACCCTCTGAGGACCATGTTAATTGACCTCGAAGCCAGCATGATATTAAAAGTTATAATTTTAACCCCAAGACAAATATAGGGCAATGCTGGCTTTTTATTCCACCAGTAAAAAGCATTAATAGAAGAACTAGCTATAACAAGGGAACTGCAATGTACGCAAGACTTCATTTATAGATGGTAGTCCTCTGGTTTGCTTCTGCTGCTTGGCTTCTTATGGAAATATCAATTATTCTCACAGCTAAGGAAGTAATTTTAAAGGTCTTGATCTCACTTTCTCTTGACAATTGAGATTTTATCAGGGGTCGTATGAAATATTAAAAAGTGAATTCACAACTTACAGGCCTCAGGGTGAGAATCTAATTTTTAACAACTGCAAGCTACTGTTGGATTCGGAGAGGAGGATGAGGGGAGAAGGGATAGAGGAGGAAACAGAGGAGAGGAGCGAAGAGAGGTGACAGACCATTGAAAAATAAATTAAATGCAAAGATAAATAATGTAGCCCGGTGGTGTTGGAATTGCCTGATACGGCCTCTAAAGCAGGTCTACAGCCACTTTTTCCCCAGATTAGCCTCAATCTTAGACCCTTACCACTTGGTTTTTCCATTTTTTGTATTTTTTTTTTTTCTCACTGTTTTTTTGTAAATTGGACGGAGTGGCCCGGAGCACCCGAGGCACAGGAAATACAGCTCCAGGAAAAGCTTAGTGTTTTACCTCCAGCAGCACATCTCAGCGGACAATCATCACTAAAGCAAAAACTGCACCGACAAGACCAACGTGGAAAACTGTGTAGATATCAAAACAAGTGAAGGTTGGAATAAATGCGTCTTTATTTTTGTATGAAAATGTATCACGCTTGGACACGGCCTATAATTAAGACTAAACTACCGTAAATCATCACATTTAGAAGTTATGGTCATCCTGCCAGTAGCTCTTCACGGCCTTTTCAGATGTTCTAATAAGTGGGTGTGACTGCTTTAAGGTTAAGGTACATGTTATTGTCCCCATAGGGAAATTTGCCCCCTGCATTTGACCCATCCTTCAGGCACGGCAAGTTTATTTGTATAGCACAATTCATCCACAAAGTAATTTAGTGGTTTATAGAATAAGAAAGACATTAAAATCACAATACAAACAAATCAAAACATAAATAATCATCATAGAATTTACATTAAAAGAGAACAAGAGAGGGGAGTGTGGAATAAAAGCTTTTCAGTCATCTACGGTGCATGTTTTGGATTGGTGGTGGAAACTGAAGTTTTTGTTTTTCTTGTTAATATTGATTTTTTTAAGAATACCTTCAGGGGTACACAATATTTTTTTGTCACTAATATCAGTGACAAGGATTTTTTTTTTTCCATAAATATGCTCTAGTGATCTGAAAAAACAATATTGCACCACCCTTAGAGAATTCATGACACTCACCAAAATAGCTTTTTCAAAAAATCGGACTTTAAAATTGAGACCATTAAACTTTGGTTGATTTGACTGGTTTACATTTATTTACTTATTTACTTTAACTTGGGTTCAGTAGGTATTTTTTAGCAAAATTACATGTCATCTGAATTAAAATTTTCTATTTTTTCTGCAATTTTCCATTTGAATTCACCCATCTCCTTGTCCGTTCCTACAGGGTTCTTACTGGGCCATTGACACCAACCCAAAAGAAGACTCTCTGCCCACACGACCCAAGAAGAGGCCGCGCTCCGGAGAACGAGTGAGTATCCTCCTCTTTTACTTTTACTTTCATTTTTTTTTTTTACTACCTCATGTTGTTATTGGCAGTCAAACATCAATACTGAAAAACTGTCTTTCAAATCCATTTCGTATTTCAGTTTAGCTGCACCATATTTACCTGTTTGATCAGGTTAAGAAGGGGTGCAGCACAAAGAAGGATCACCGTGGATGGAAATTGATTTTAAGTAGTGCTAGAGCACTTTTATACAAAACAAAAAAAAAAACCTATATTGTATCAGATCGATGTCCATCACTAGTACTTCTCGTCTTAGCTGAACTGTTAATATTTCAGCCATCTTGCACACATAACACTCCTGAGCATCTTTAAATTGTGCGCTATGAATTAAATCTAAAATTTTGTGGTCAATTAATGAAATTTTAAACAACACCCCATAAATCTAATACATATTTGCCCGTAAACTCTCTTCCATCACTTCTACTTTTTCACTTTTCCTTTGTGACCTTTATCCTTTGTTCTCCTCGTCCCTCACCACATGCAGTCACAAACCCAGTAGGACTTCCTGTAAACTTTATGTAACACTCACTACCTATCCACTCTGCTTCGTTTTCCTCGTCATGAAGTTAGACTCCATATTAATAAACTATGCCTCTGGCTGCCGTTACATACATTACACACAACAGACTTTTTTATTTATTTATTTTTTTAACAGACATCAATTAATGCGTATAGCTGTGCGCGCCGCCATGGCTATTCTGAGCTCCAGCTTTCAGTCTTTAATAATGAATGAGTTTAGACCAGTGCAGCGCGGGTCCAGCGAGGGGCTCGCATTGACCTCGCCTGGGGGCATTTCTCTATACAGAAGTCTCCTGTCTGTTTCTTTAGCTTTAACTGACCACAGGCTCCAATGTAAGGAGAGTCAGAGGAGCTGGCTACACCGACATTCTAACGCAGCTATTGTCTTTATCGCGCACATGGATGCTACACACAGATGCAGCGAATCTTAACACGCTTTTCACGGACTTGCCCTCCAGCGTAAAAAAAAAAAAAAAAACACACAGTCAACTATACATCTTATGAATGCCTGGATGAGGTAAAATTGTAAAAAAAAAAAAAAAAAAGAAGAATGAATTGTTGATTTGGATTTGACAAAAAATGTATGAAAATTTGAGGGGAAAACATTTAGTAAAATTGTAGGGCAATCTGCTAAATCAGTTTCAGTGGTTGGAAAAGAATATGGTATTGTACAATAAAACTCATTATTTTTTTACAATTTTATGTCCCCAGTTTATTCCAGTTTTTGTTTATTAAATCTAAACAAGAATATACTTTCCAATGGTGACTTGAAAACAAAATATACTCGTCTACTAATCAATACAAAGACGAAGATCAAAACTACTAGATTCTCACTTGTAAATGTCCATACTGAAAAAAAAAAAATCACCTACATAACTCAAAATTCTTGAATAGTTTAAGAATGATCAATATCAGAACTGGAATGACCACAGATTTAAAAATGAAAGTAATGATACTATAATTTTTTCTTAAATTCTTTCTTGTCGTCATGGTGTTGAAATCTGTATTTGAGTATCAAGTTTGACATTTTAGCATGTGACAACAATATTGGCTACATAAAATTTGTCTCAAAAGTGTCAAATTGTGTAAAAACTGGTATTATTTCCCCTGTATACAGTATCACCTTGGCATGGCTTTGCTTTGTTGCATTACTAGTTCAGATGAAAACCTTTGCGTGAATTTAAAATGCACTCTTCTCTCATGTTTATCTAAAAATGTTTGTTTAATCGGCACCTTAAGTTACCCACAAATCCCCATCCTCAAATGTGTCTTTCTATATTGCATGTTTAGTTGTATCATGCAGCCGTAGTCATAACATAAAGGAATGTGCAGACTGTCTATTGTAGGAAGCCCCCGCCCCTCCCCCCTCGCTTCATCTGCCTACAGGCTTCCCATTAGCAGACAGTGAAATTGAGAGTTTGTGAAATCTCATTTATGTTTATCATGAATTAAAAATGGTTTTGTTGGCAGCCAATCCTCTTACAGTAAGCAGTTTGGGGCAGAGACACTTATCTGCAGTAACAGTGAAGGCAGAGGCACAGTGTTGATGCAGACTGGGGGTTTTGAAGGTGAAGCTGTCTCCTTTCTTTTAACGTGCACTTCTGATGCGACCTACATAGAGGTGTGGCACTCACACTGTATAACACTATTTATTTGATGCCCATATGCTATGCTGTGTGTTACTGTGCAAATGTATAGTAACATAATTGTGGGGCAGAGGGTTCCGTAGTGCAGATTATACATCATTTTACAATTTATTTAAAGTATTGCAAATGCAACAAATGTCATTCAGAGTGCACATTTTAAGCATAACCAGGAACATTAACTTTTTTTTTGTTAACCAGACCAGTTGGGATGTTTTCAGCTATACACAATCTTTTATTAATGTAACCCCTCTGCAGTGATTGATGGGATGTCGTGTTGTTTATGTATTCTAAGAGCAAGCAAACTCCACACTGAAACACCTCACATGGTCCAGTCCACAATCCCTGAGAGTTGCTCATACTTTAAACTCCTAAGGCTGCTGCTTAAGTGGGTTCAAGACTGAAATTACATAATATGTTTTTCAGGTTTCTTAAATATTAGGGATCTAACATTATCCAAATCTCACAGTACGATATTTATTGCGATATTTTAAAGAGGCTAATATAATTGTAAATAGAATGCTTTTTTGCTTTTAAAATACCTTGACAAGATTTTGGTGTGAATTATTTCCATCATAACCCCAAGAATTCAAGTAAAAAACATTTATCTTCATGTTGTCTGCCCTAAAATGAATCATGGGATATGTAGTTTCTGATGTTCATAAGCTGTTGCTGCTGTAAACCATGCATTTAAGCAAAGGAAATTGTAATTCGATATATTGTGACAGCCCATGATATTATTGTGAGAATTTTGACAATACAATATCACAATATTTCGGTTAATGTGACATCCCTATTAAAAATAATGTAATTTTTATTATAAGTGTAATATGACTGGAGTCTTATCGCTCAGTCATAATTTTCTATTCAAAATGTGAACTCTAAACCACATGTCAGTCATGCTTGAGTATTAATTTTTGTTTTGTTCAAATGAAGGTGATTACATATTGTTAGATATGTCCCACACAGGTGTATCGTATTTTATTATTGCCTCATACTAATTCTCTACCTCTCTATCTCTATCATCTTTCCCTCTCTCCCGCCTCCTCTCTCCCTTTCTTTCTTCCCCTCTCTGCTTCTCCCTCTTCCTCTCATTCCCACTCCCCTCTCCACTCCATCTCTCTACCCCCTCTCCCTCCTATCCCTTTCTCACTCCTCTCTCTCTCTCTCCTCCTCCCTCCTCCTCCTCCTCTTCCCTCCCTCTCTCCTCCTCCCGCCCACAGGCCTCCACTCCGTACAGCCTGGAGTCGGACTCTTTGGGGATGGAGTGTATGATCTCTGGAAGTGCCTCTCCAACGCTGGCAATCAACAGTGTGACTAACAAGGTACTAGAAACCCCCCACACACCACCACATACTCCCCTCCCCACCCCATACACACACACACACAGACTACCGCACACCTGGCTACTCACTGCCCCCTGCCCCCTCCTCCAGCACTGCCCCCTCCCTGCAGAGAGAGGCCACTGCAGCTGAGGGGAGGCGTAACACTGCAAACTCACTTACGCCTAAAGCAGCTTCCATGCAAGTAATACAAGGCAGTTTCATGCTAGCAGTAAAATAAATGTTGTAACGGCTTGTAGTTTGAAATCATTTGCAGTTCTCTTCATTGTTGGGAAAATTTGATGTACTATGGTAGCTTTCTGTTTTTTTATGGTAATTCTCTGACCCAAGAGTTAACAGTTTTTGAGCAGTAATTAGATAATATTTTAGGGTCAGTTTTAAGACAATCTTGTTGCATTCGTATATATTTTAATTTTGAGTTTGTGGCTGGTTAATAGAAAGGCTGAATGCTTATGTAGTTATTGTGGTAAACTGTTGTTAATATTAAAAGGCCCATATTACACTTTTTTCTGAGCTATGTTGTTGTGTCGTCAGCAAACATATTCCTGGAGTTGTTTTGTTTCATTCATACATGTTTAACGCACTCTGTTCCACCTTGTGATGCCATGTGGTAATACTGGAAGAGCTCTACTATGTTTTTAAACCCGATCCATCTTCACTAGAATAATTTGAATAATTTCAGCCCTGGAATTGCCAATCTCTACTGAACTAAAGGTAAAAGGAGCTGTTAATTTGAAAATTTACCTCTACATGACATCACAAGGTGGAACAGAGCATTTTGATCTTTGGAGATCTGGACAGACTAATTATCAGTGTTGTACATGAACGAGTTCAAAAGAACGCGTTCATTAAACACGTTCATTTTTCCATGAACTTTGAATTGAATGCAGCACTTTTGTAAATCAAGAACTTGACCGTGAATTTGTTCAAATTATATGAGATGAACGACGTACGGTGCGGTTTTAAGTTCAGTTTCTCTAAGACGTAAACAAATGTGTCAAAGCTGAATTAAACACATTATAATGTCAAACAGGCTGATGTGGATCTATAATGCTTATGGCTTATATGTTGTAAAGTTGTTGTAAACTGGAAGTCAGTTTGAAAAATAAGTTCAGCCTTTCATTTATATATCTTACCTAAACATAAAATGAACTGAACTTTGATCTAGTTCAAAATTAAAATTGTGAACTATGAACTATGTGAGCTGTTCACTTTGAACATGTGTAAACTGAACTTTGAACTAGTTCATGAAAATTGTGAACTTGTACAACACTGCTAATAATAAGGTGTTACTCAACCATGTGTGAATGAAACAAAAAATAACTCTGGGTATGTTTTTCAGGAGGTAACAATATTCTAAAATTACTTAAAGCTCACAAGAGTCAATTTTGTGTAATATAGGACTTTTAAAACAATTTTATAATTTCAGATTAAATTCAAGAGCCCAGGTTTAGCATTATAGCTCCATTTGGCTTTTTAATTTGCATTCATTAATGTATTGTTTTGCACCTCTTCCTCTTTGAACACTGTACCACCTGTAAAGCGTTATCCCAAACTGGTTCATTTTCCTTTCAGACACAAGTTACATTGTTCTATTCAAGCTTTCATTGGGACAAATGTGTTCACGCATGTAGGATGTGTGACACTTGTAGAGCTGTTACATTGTATGGAGCCTCACTATAAACTGAATACATAGTCAGTGAGATGAACCGATAAGGCTGGGGATTTATGACCAAGCTATTATAGTGTTACACAAGGCGAAATTGTCAATATTTGGATTAGATCATGGTTAGACTTGGCAACCTATGCTTTATATTCCGCTGTAGATAATACAAGTGGCTTTGCTCCAAGTTTTGTGTGGGGTTAAAATTACTCATGCAATTCAGAAATTCAATTACACACTTTTGGAACTGATTGAAACAATAACCATTAAAATTTGATCAATTGCATAGCTTTCTTACCCACTTCATCAGAACACAATCTTCAATCAAACACAGAGGCTTTATAATATACCACTTTATAATGAGTGCACCTTAATTGGCCTTAATAAAGCATGATTAATGAATTCATTGTGAACAAATCGTTTATTAAGAATGATTCAGGCTTAATAAATACTTAAAGAGCCTATATTACACTACTTTCTGATCTGTGTTATAATGTTGTTTGCTCATCAGCATACAAACATACCCAGAGTTTTGTTTTGTTTCATCCGTACATTTGGCACACAAGCCCTGCATATTTAGGCTGACTTCTTCTCGCAAACAGAAAACACTGTGCTCCACTGTGTTTTTAAACTCCATACAGCTTTACTAGTATTATATGGATCATTTCAGCCCTGGATTGCCACTGTCTACTATACAAAAGGTAAAAGGTAGCCAGCTGGAACAGAGCTTTTTTGGGCTTTGGAGATGTAGACAGACTAATAATGAAGGATTACCCAAATAATACTTCTTAATACGCTTAATACACTATTTGTTCATTTTGAAAAAAGTCTTTGTTCATACTTTATTAAGGCCAATTAAGTGTAGTTATTACAAAGGGCCACAAAAAAAATCTGATTCAAAGTTAAATCCTGGTTTAAGCCTACGTTTGCATTATATTACAGCTCTATCGACCACATAATTCCTCTGAACAACTTGTAAGCTTCTACACTGCAGAGCCTGTCCGCACTTTATATCTTTTTTTCCTAACGTGTTCAAGCTTAAAAACACTTGTACTTCACAGTGCAAAACTACAGGGACCCGCTAGCTGTTAGCCGTGAGTGTAGCGCTACTCTGAAATTTAAATAGGCTTTTTAACCTTAAGCTCTCATCGGCGCGCCCGGTGGGGTTGGCTCTCTGGAGGACTTTTAAACAGCGCACAAGAGTCGCTTATTCATTTGCTGCAGCAGAAAAGGCAGGTGAGGAATGACTCTGAGTTTGAGCGCGGCGGGAAAGTTATGAGGTTAAAGTCTAAAGCAATGTGCAACTGCAGAAATAACAGCATACAGCTTTAGTTTGTATAAATGAATGGAAAAGACTAAACTGGGACTAAGCAAGGCCAGGGCTGGTTAGTACTTGGATGGGAGACTCTTGAGAATACCAGATGCTGCAATGGGGGTACAACTACCTCCATTAAAAACTGTTGTTGTGTCCTCAGGCTCCTACTCTTCAGTATAGGGATAAACCAGGACTAAACCAGGACTAAACCAGGACTAAACCAGGACTAAACCAGGACTAAACCAGGACTAAACCCAGGACTAACCCAGGACTAAACCCAGGACTAAACCCAGGACTAAACCGGGGCTAAACCGGGGCTAAACCGGGGCTAAACCGGGGCTAAACCAGGGGCTAAACCAGGGGCTAATCCAGGACTAAATGTTGGTAATAGTAGACCAATGCTAAAAGTCTATTAGGCTCACTGGATCCACTGGTTTTATCTAGCTTACATTAAAGGTCCACTGTGGAATTTTTCTTACAGGGAGTCCACCACCTCAGAGACCTTATTGCTTTGTCTGTTCCACAATATGACATTAAATCAATCCATCTCACATTTACTGCATTACAGATAAAAATGCCAGCTTCTTCTCTCCATGAATGGATAAATAAGTTTAATGCTATACTGTGGAACATAGTAAGCATATCAATATGGAGACCAGCAGGTGGGGGACTCTTCACCAGAAAAGTGTATCTTTAAATAGGCCAAACTGCATGAGAAGCCTGTGCAGTATAATTTGAGTAACGTGTGTCTGTACACGCGTAGGCTCTCTGGGTGCTGTCAGTGTATCGTCTTGTTTAGAATAGTGTTACAAGTGTCTCCAGTGCGGGACAAGCGCGTTCCTGTTACAGAGTTAGAGAGGCGCATGTGTAAAGACAGATGACCCACTCCTCTTTGATTACCGCCAACAGCCTCGGCTCCTCACAGCTCCCAGGCAAATGAGCCCTAATGTACAGCTCTGAGGACAGGCCTGGACCACTGCCAGTGCATACCTCCAAACCACAAGAATGAAATGTGCGAGGAAAACAGCTAAACGGTTTTGGCTTGGTTTGTGGATAATGGTTTCATTAACATAAAGAAATATAGTCAGTGCCAACTTGAAAAGGAGCCGAGATTTGGAAGATTTATTATCTCTGTTAAAGACGTAACTTTTTTGATGGAGGGTCCGCCACCTCTGTGTGTCTGCACTAAGCAAATCTATCTCCATGGACCACCAACAGATGACGGGTACAGGTCAGAACAGTAGCGAGGCGAGCCATAATAAAACATGTCATTGAAATAAGGCACAGTGGTACGTGATAGATTTAATGACATACTGCAGAACATTACAGACAGTGGTGGAATTATTCACCAGAAAAGTTGGGATGTAACAATAACAAAAACATTGCGATATCTCACAAGTTCTCACAATAATATCATGGACCATCAAAATATATCGAATTACAAGTCTCTTTGCATAAATTAAGAGTTATGGTGCAGCAATAGCTAAAAAAAGACAGAGGGAACTACATAGACCATGATCCTTTGCTCCATTTCAGTGCAGACTACAAGAAGAAATAACAGTTCTAAGCACTTTTAAGTCTTAGTTCTTTAGATTAAGTTTTGTCAAGGCATTTTAAGAGGAAAAAGTGTCCACAAAATATCACAATAAATATCGTACCATGAGATGTATATCATGAAAATATTGTACCGAGAGATTTGGATATCGTTACATCCCTAATCATGAGCCTCCCCACCATATTGTGAACTTTCCCTCGATATCGCAATAAATATGGTAGCGTGAGGTTCATACTGTGACGATATCGTATCGTGACACTTGGATATCGTTACACCCCTATTACACAGTGCACCTTTGAGATTTTTCATCAAGTTGTTGATGAATTGATTAAATTGAATTTCATTTTTCTTTTGAGGAAAGTTTTCTTCATTATTTCTCCAGGAATTGATACATTATTATAAGTAATGTAGATTGCGAGATGAAAATAAACTTGGAGTCAGGCTAAATG